GGGGGGTATTCAGCTAGCCAGGCATAGCCGATTAACAAGAACATAAAAAAGTGCCACGCCAAGACCAGGCCACGCTGCACACTGATGCTGTAACACCATCTACACACCCTTTTCCCCTTCACTACATTGCTCACCCGATACCTCTCAACAGCCTCACGGGTACTCCTCGTCTGGCTCGTCGTTGTTGGACGTGATAAAGACCAGCCTCGTGCCGTTTCCGGCAGTTTGCCAGACCTGTTTTGGGGGAAAATCACGGCATGGTTAGCAGGCGACACCACATCATCATAATAATCATGGCGATCAGAAACAACACATGTACTCACGTCCAGCTCGGTGTACTCGTCCAGCGCGGCGTTCCACTGGTCCTCGGTGAAGCCCTTTGCCAGGACGCGCTCGCGGACGCGGCGCAGGCTGAGCTCGACGCCGAGCTCGTCCTCGTCCTCTGCGTCGTCGGCGCGGCAGGCGCCCGTGTCGGCGAGGGCCTTGACGAGATTGTAGATGCGGGAGCTGGCGTTGAGGCGGCCGCGGCCGCCGCGGGAGTTGCCCTGTTCGGCGTCGAGCGAGGCCTTTGAGGCCTCGACGAGGCGCAGGGCCTCGTCCACATCGTCCTGGCTGACCGACGAGGCGAAGCGGAGGCGGGCGAGGGCCTGGGCCAGGCGCACGAGGCCGAGCAGGGTGCGGGGCGTCGTGTGGGTGAACAGCTTGCCCTGCTTCTCGGCGCGGCGCTGGGCTTCGCGCATGCGCGCGTACGTCTTGATGAGGTACTCGGACACCGACTCGGGCACCGTGGGGCGGTAGGTGCGCGCCTCGGCTACGTAGCTGCGCATCTCGTGCGGCGTGAAGATGACGCCGTCGACGCCGCCCGCCGCCAGGTCCGGGTGCCTGCTGTGCATGTGCACGTAGGCCACGTGCTTGGCGAGCTGCGCGTCCGTGTCGCGCGCCGGCGTGTCGAGCAGCAGGAACATGATGTCGAAGCGCGACAGGAGCGCCGCGGGGAGGTTGATGTTCTCCACGGGCGAGATGCGCGGGTTGTAGCGCCCATACACCGGGTTGGCCGCCGCTAGGATCGACGTGCGCGCGTTCAGGCTGGTCGAGATGCCGGCCTTGCTGATGCTGATGGTCTGCTGCTCCATGACCTCGTGGATCGCCGTGCGGTCGTTCTCGTCCATCTTGTCGAACTCGTCGATGCAGCAGATGCCGTTGTCGGCCAGCACCAGCGCGCCGCCCTCCAGGACCATCTCGTCCGTCACGGGATCGCGCATGACGGCGGCCGTGAGACCAACACCACTGCTACCCCGGCCAGAGGTGTAGACACCTCGAGGAGCGACTTTTGAGATGTACTTCAACAGCTGGGACTTGGCCACACCGGGATCACCCATCAAGCAGATGTTGATGTCACCACGGATCTTCATGCCGTCGCCCATCTGCTTGGTGACACCTCCGACCAACAGGAGTAGCAGAGCCTTCTTCACGTCGAGGTGGCCGAAGATCTCGGGCGCGATAGACTTGGCCAGGTACTCGTAGATGTGACCCGATACCCTGAACTGGTCGATCTTGCGCACGAGCCTGGTGTCGATGACCATCTCGTCGTATGCCTTCTTGTGCTGTGTGATGTGATGCGCTTCAAGGTAGGTGTCGGTGAGCAGACCCGCGCGCATGGCCTTGAAGCCCGTGTAGGGAGTGGGCAAGAAGATGCCGGCAATATCGGCAACGTCACCGGGGTTGACCTTCCGAACCAGTGAGCCGTAGCACAGGATGGTCAGTGTCCTGGGGATCTGGCCGATGGGTACCTGCTCTGCCATCTCCTGAACCTTGACCTCCTGGAAGGGAAGAAATTTGGAGGCCCGGGAGGACGGGTGCAGCTGGCCCTGGGACTGGTTGGCCTTGCAGTCTTCGGACGGGCAGGTGGTGAGGGGCGAGTACTGCTTGTCGATGATGGGCTGGAAGATCTCGCAGCCGCAGCGGTCGCACGTGTACGCGCTGACCTGGGTAATGGGCTTAACGTCCGACACGCGCGTCACGATGCCGCTGATGGTGATCAGGTGGCCGAGGTGGTCGCCTCGCACCTGGCGGACCGCAAGCGCCTTGACGGGGTTCTCGGCCGTCGAGGTGCGCGGCTTGAAGACGAGCGTGTACCGGCGCACCAGCTCTGCGGGGAACTTATCATCCAACAGAGACTGGTTGTTCTGCGACTCGGCCGCCTGGGCCAGCGCACGGTTCCGCTCTTGCCTCCGAGCCATAAGGACGTCCAGAACATCGTCCTTGAAGCTGACGTCGGCGCTAGGTTCCGGCATCATCTTGTCGACTGCTCGCGACACGATGTCGACATAGTGTTTTGTGTTTGTCTCGACCGACTGAACCAGCTTGAGGCCCTCATCCACGTTTTGTTCGTACTTTGGGTTCCGGCAGCGTCAGCACTGTGCACCGTCTGTTGCAGTCGGTGGGCGGACGGGGGCAATCACCGTAGCTAGATCGTCCAGGTCTATCACCACCTCGTCGATTTTCCTGTCGGCTAACTGGCGCAGCATTTCTTTGTACTTATAGTGGGGGCCCTTTTGCCGCGCGCGCTCCTGCTGCCTGCGCTGAGCTGCCTCGTCGTCTTCGTCCATGAAATCGTAGTCATCGCTAAGGTCGTCATCGCCGATCGCGATATCACCGAGACCCTGTGTGATGGCCTGCTCGGGTGAGGTCTTGAACTCTTGCAAGAAGTTCTCGAAGCCGGCTGTACGTATTCCGGCGGGTTAGCTTTCTTTATTCCCACTGCCCCTCCCCCCTCCCCCCTCTTCCCCAGGCGATGCGCCAGTCGCACGTACTCTGCTGCGACGTGTAGCTCACCGGCGCCCGGTATGTGAGAAGCGCCATGGTTGCTGGTGCCGTCGGGCTCGCGAATCGGCGCAACAGAAAGGTCGCCGGGAGTCCAGAGAGCTTCCAGTAAACAAATCGCAAAATCAATCGCTCGGTGTTGGCGTCGTGGGCTCGCTCCGGGCGTTCGGTGGGCGTTGGCTGGAGGCGGGATGCGGTTGCGGCGCGGCTTCAGTTTTGCGGCTCCAGAACGGCGGGCAGGGATTGAGAATGGCGCTACGGGGCGGGCTGGGCTGGGCTGGCTGTCGGTGGTTGGGAGCTGTAGAGAGTCGGTGGTGGGCGGTTGGCAGGGGCGACGCGATTCAGGGGTGGATTAGACGCGTCTTTCGTCCCGCGGTTTTGATGGCCAAATCGACACGAGCCAACCGGAGCAGGAGCAGCCACAAGCTACCCCGCCACACCTAATTGCCATCTATTTGGGTGCCACGCCCCTGTCAGCCGTTCCAGCTCCAGTGGCTCGGGCTCGGCTGCAGGTGCCTCGGCTCAAGCTACGACGGCAGCAAGGGTGACAGGGGTGCGACAGCCTAGTTGAGTATTGACTAGAAAGACACTTGACACCGCGATCAAGGTCCCTCAGGGCCAGTGTTCGGTCTGGTGCTCGCAACACCATTGCTTATACGAGTCTGAGCGCCATCGACGTAGTGTCAACTACAAAATGTCGCTGCGAAAGAACGCGAACTCGGCGCATGCCGAGATTTCGCTGTCCCATCTCAAGAACTGTCTCGTCAACCTGCCCTCGAGCCTAGTCAACCTCCTTACCGGCATCAACACTGTGAGCTTCGCTTTCCTCTCCCGACACCCATGTGGCAGAGCAGCCGGACATCGCGCATTCTAACCCGAGACACACTCAGCCCGCTCAAAATGTCATCGTCGAACTCAGCTATCGCGCAAACGACGGCGCCCAGAAGTCGGTCTATGTCGGCTGGACCGGCATGCCAAGCAAGCGCCGCCTTGCCCCGGCCGTCAGCCGCGACGGCAGCGGTATCCTACAAGGCAGCGGCTCTCGCACCGGCGGGCGCGACCAGGAGGCCGCTCTTGTCGAGATGGACCCAACGCTGGCGTCGACGCTAGGGTTGCGCGAGGGCCAGCGCGTCGCTGCCTCTGTCCACCTCGACCCCCCGCTCGCCCATACCGTCCACATCGAGCCGCTGACCCCCGAAGACTGGGAGATGATCGAGCTGCACGCGACCTTCCTCGAGCTCAACATGATCTCCCAGGTCCGCGCCCTGCCCAACCCGGCCTACGCCCCGCCCGGCGGCGTCGCTGGCTCTGCCGCCCACTCGTTCGCCCTTCATCTCTCGCCCACCTCGTCCGCTAGTGTGAGGGTCTCCTCGTTGGTGCCCGCCCTCGGCGCCGATATGCCGTTCGCCAAAATCGCACCCAACGCCGAGGTCATTGTGGCGCCCAAGGAACGAGCAAAACCGCCGCGGTCCAGTGGCAAAGGTGGAAGGAGCGTGGACGGCTCGCGAAAAAGCTCGGGCAGCAGTTCCCGGCGCAAGAAACAGCCCGAGGAGCGCGGGCCAACGCTGTTTCTCAGGGCCATCGACCGTCGCTACTGCGACGAGTGGTTTGATTACGAGGATGAGGACGAGACACAACAAGGCGCACAGTGGGGACCTGCCGTGTGGGTGGATCGCGATCTGCTCTTCACACGGGGCTTCAGGGGTGTCAAGCATGTGTGCGTGACCGTGATGCGACCGGCGGCACCTCAACCACAGGACGCGCAGGCAGAGGGCGGGAGCAAGCACGAGCCCGCCAGGGTCATCGCGAGGCTCTGTGGATGGGACGACCCTCCCAACGGCTCTAGTGTCACGCTGTCTTCTCCCCTCTGTGCATCATTAGGCTGCCAGGGTATTGTGGGAGGTGTGGTCAAGCTCGAACCTGCTCCTTCCCCCCTGGCGCTATCCTCGAAGTCAGGGAGGGCTGGGGACGAGAATGCGGGCGAGGATGAATCTCCGAACACGGTCAGACGGATCAAGGTCTTCCCATTTTTGAGCCCTGGCGTCTCACCAACCGCCTCCGGGCTCAAGTTTGGAGGAGAATCACGCGCGGAGAAAGAAGAGGCTGCCAAAAGGCTTAGGCTGGTCTATGACCGCAAGGACGGCAATGGGCTGCTGTCTGGTCCTCTAACCGATGGCCAGATTCTCGGTGTCTACGACGGGATCGAGCAGTCACAAGGATGGGAGGGCGGTATCATCAGGTTTGACCCCCCGCCTAAGCCCGGCCAGGCAGGTAAGGAGCCTGCTGCCTGGGTATTAAGCTCCCAGAAGCAGATTCCTTTGGATATTCAGCCTCCAGTGCCTCGGCCCAAGGACGCATATCTTGAGGACGGTGAAGATGAAGCCTCATCGGACAGCGTCCTCGTTGGGATTGACTCTCTATTGTCCCAACTCAAATCACACTTGAGTCACATGTCCTCCGTTCTCCTTACCGGTGGTCTAGGCTCGGGCAAGACTACAGTCGGGCGGGACATGGCCTCAGTGCTGAAGCGAGAGTCCTTCTTTCACACAACCTACTTCCCCTGCCGCACGCTCGTCAACGATGAGAGCAGGATATCGACCATCCGCGAGACACTGAACCGCATCTTCATGAGAGCCAGCTGGGGCGCGAGGTTAGGTGGCCAGGCTATCGTCATCCTGGACGACCTGGACAAGTTGTGCCCCGCAGAGACGGAGCTTCAAGTTGGCAACGAGAACGGCCGCAGTCGGCAAATCAGTGAAGCGCTGTGCGCCATTGTGCGGCAATACTGTGCCAAGGATGGCGGCGTGGTTCTCCTGGCAACTGCGCAGGACAAGGAGTCGGTCCACAACGTCATCGTCGGAGGCCATGTCGTTCGAGAGATTGTGGAGCTCAAGTCGCCAGGCAAGGAGGCGAGGAAGAAAATGATGGAAGCCATCACGCGCCAGGGCCCTCTTGCCCCTGAAAGAGACGAACATCTGGATGATGGCAGTGAACAACAGCTGGGGAGCCGCCCCACGACGGCTGATGGGAGTACATCGGCTGATGATGGCGCCTGGATGGATGGACCCAGCCGGCCGACTCGCCAGACTTTTTCGTCGCCAGCCGTGCAGGGATACAGCCTCCAGCCCGATCTAGACTTCCTCGATATCGCCGGAAGGACCGACGGTTACATGCCAGGAGACCTCGTGCTCCTGGTCGCACGGGCACGCAACGCGGCGCTGGCGAGGTCTATCGCCGAGTCCCCTGACGACGACCAACTGGGACTCTTTGGGGGCGTGCCGCTCGGCATGGAGGATTTCGAGGAGGCGCTCAAGGGCTTCACGCCAGCCTCGTTGCACAACGTCAGCTTGCAGAGCTCGTCAACAAAGTTTGACTCGATCGGCGGCCTGGTCGAGACACGGCGCGTGCTGCTCGAGACGCTTCAGTACCCAACCCGATACGCACCCATCTTCGCCCAGTGCCCGCTGCGGCTGCGGTCAGGCCTGCTGCTCTACGGCTACCCAGGCTGCGGCAAGACGCTGCTGGCGAGCGCGGTGGCGGGCGAGTGTGGGCTCAACTTCATCAGCGTCAAGGGCCCCGAGATCCTGAACAAGTACATCGGTGCGTCCGAGAAGTCGGTGCGCGACCTGTTCGAGCGGGCACAGGCGGCGCGGCCGTGCGTCTTGTTCTTTGACGAGTTCGACTCGATCGCGCCCAAGCGTGGGCACGACTCGACCGGCGTCACGGACCGCGTCGTCAACCAGCTGCTCACACAGATGGACGGCGCCGAGGGGTTGTCTGGCGTCTACGTCCTCGCGGCCACGTCGCGCCCAGACCTTATCGACCCGGCGCTGCTCCGGCCCGGCCGCCTGGACAAGTCCCTGATCTGCGACTTCCCGGGGCCCGAGGACCGACTCGACATCCTGCGGGCCCTGGCCAAGAAGCTCAAGGTCGCCGACGACGTGCTGGGGTCCGACGAGGGCATGGCGGAGCTCGCGCGCCGCACCGAGGGCTTCACGGGTGCAGACCTGCAGGCGCTCATGGCCAACTCGCAGCTCGAAGCCATCCACGACGTGCTGGGCGACCACACGGACGCTGCTGCCGCGCCGTCCTCGAGTAGCGGTAGGCGCAAGCACAAAGGCGGCGGCGGCGGTGACAAGAACTCGGGGTCCGCCGGGTCTGGCAGCAGCAGGAACTATGTGCAGTTCCTCTACGGCACGCAGGACGCGGCCGACGGCGACGGGCAGCCCAAGGGCACCATGCTGTCGGCCGAGCTGGCGGAGCGCGCGGCCATCGCGGCCAAGCTCGACGGCATCCGCCTCGCGCGCAAGATGGCCAAGGCATCGCGGGCGGCTGGCGGTCGCGGCGGGGCTTCCCGGGCCAACGGCATTGAGGAGAAGCAGAGCGGCGGCGGCGGCAGCAACGAGGTGGTCATCAACTGGAAGCACCTGAGCAAGGCGCTCGAGGAGACGCGGCCCAGCATCAGCTCGCAGGAGCGGGCGCGGTTGGAGCGCATCTACCACGAGTTCGTCGTCGGCCGCAGCGGCCAGATGAAGGACGGGCAGGGGAGCATGGAGGTTGGCGGGCGGAGCAGCTTGATGTGAGCGAGGGTGATGGCATCTTGAATTTGAGGGATGGAGGGAGGGGACGTTACGACGTTGATGGGGATGTATACAACATGGCAAAAATGCAGCTTAATGTCTCGGCACAATGCTTGAATGGTGATTCTAGTTGATTAAAACCCACATCGTATGGACATATCCTTGAAGTCGTGGTTCCTCGTTCCTTGGCCTCTTTACTTCCCTTCCCCTCTTCCTTTCTTTATTACTCATTATACTTCTTAGCAACCGAGATAGCTTTGAGTGCCTACAGCCATTCTGAACTTGGTATGAATAGTCATCTTCAGAAGGGCGATGATATCATCAAGCAAACATTGACACGTCGACACCCTGCCCGTAACGGCAGTCTCGAACGCCCCTCCATCTGTCGTCTGTCGTCAAGGCAAATCCGCAGGCTATCTACCCCATGAACATAAGTATGATATAGGTGAGACTCGGAGCGAGGCTCACTTGGCCCAACCGACGCAAGAACATGCGGAATGACGGTCGAGGTGATTGCTGCGCAGTGGAAGGATATCAAGAAATGTTCAAATAATGTGACTTGCAGTCAACCGTAGACTTTATTAGTCACCGCGACATAGCCCCATCCCAACGACCATCTATGCCGCGGCCTTCTTGGCCGCCAGCTCCGCCTTTAGCCTCTCCATCATCTTCTCGTGGATCTTCTCCCACCCGCCCTCGCACAGCGACTTGACCAGCCCGACGATCAGACGGGACGCCGAGATCGTGATCTCCTCAACCAGCTCCCACGCGCCCTCCTCGCCCTCGACGGCCCTGATCTCCCAAAACGTGTCCATGACGACGGCCATGGGGCTGCGGATGCGGACAAAGAGGCCGGCCTCGATGTCGGTTATCTCGTTTGTGCTCACGACGTTGGAGTCCCACAGGCCCCCCGGCAGGTTGTGGACCAGGTCGTGGACCTCGTAGAAGCGCCGGGCGCGCCCCGCCACGGCGGCCGAGGCGACGCGCTCGGGCGGCGGCGGCGGCGCGGCGTCCTTGACGCGCGCGTCGTCGGGCTTGAGCTCGGACTGCTTGACCAGGTGCGGGTCGCACGAGAGGTAGAAGGCGTGGTCGTGCAGCATGGCCACGCCCTGCTCGCGCGTCGCGCCGGCGGGGAGCTTGGTCTTGTGGAGGACGTTGGCCGTTCCGTTCAGGACTGTTGAGGGTGGAGAAGGGTCAGCTCAGCTGGTGGTGCCACTCTCACTTGAATTTCCCCTCTTCTCATGAGGGGCAACTTACTTGAGGACATGATGGCGGCGGGATCTGACGACGTAAAGACTTGGGTAAGTGTGTATATGAAATTGATTGAGGACTGCAAGGAAACTTGGGAATATTGTAATTAAAAGCCGTTTAGAAGTAAATGCTTCTAGCGATGGTTGCCAAACGATAAAGATAACTGCCAGCAAGATTGGACCGTTGGTTCAGTTCTGTTTACTAGCCCGTACTTGTACTGCAGCCCGCCAAGCAATTGACGTTGCGACCAGCGCAGCCCACCGACGAAGCGAGCGATGCCACACAAAGCAGACCTTTTGTCGTCGGGGAGAAGCCAAAAAAGAAAAACAAGGGGGCGCTTCGAAACGTCTCGTGTGTCATTGCTGGGCGACTACCGTCCAAACGCCGGTCATGGCGCTGAAAGTCGCAGGGGAACGATATTCAAGCCATTGTTTAACACTTGAATCGGGGTCCCTCTAAGCCAGGTGGCACCTCCTGCTTTCCCGAATCTTATAGACCGGGGGGTCCTACGGTGCCGGGGGGTTCCAGGTGTTTCTCCCTCAAACGAGCCACCGTATTACCAGACATGTCTACGGTGAGTGGTGGCAAGAGTTGGAAATTTGGCTAGTATTCACCAGAATAGAGTCGAAAGAACATGCATATCCTGACAAGGAAAACAGCCCTTCTCACAGCGTAAACACGATCCTCCCGTTCTTGGCAACGGCCTTGTCGGCCCAGACCCTCTCAAACTCGTCGAGCGGGACCAGCTGTGGCTTCTTCAGCTCCATGGCGGCCAGGGCGGCGACGAGCCCCGGCATCTCCTTGGCCATCTCGGGGATGGAGAAGGCGCCCGGGCCGGAGCCGCGGATGGTCAGGTTCTTTGACCGCAGCGCGGCGCTCGGGACGTTGATGGACGGCTGGCCCGACAGGCCGCCGATCTGCACGAACTGCACGGCCTTGCCGCGCGGCGGCAGGGCCTCGAGCACGCGCGCGGCCACGTCGCCGCTGATGTAGTCGAGCACCACGTCGACGCCCTCGAGGATGCCCGTCCAGTCCGTGTCGGCGCCGCCGTCGCCCCTGAGCTCGACGCGGCGGTCCAGGCCGGGGACTGCGGCGAGCGCCTCCGGGTTGCGGGCCGCGCCCACGACGGCGGCGGCGCCGAGGGCGCGGGCGAGCGGCACGGCCAGCTCGCCGCTAGCGCTAGTGGCGCCGAGCACCAGGGCCGTGAAGCCCTGCGGCAGGTCGGCGGTGCGCAGCTTGAGGGCGAGCCAGGAGCTCATGCCCGGGTTGACGCTGGCGGCCACGGCGGCGGCGTCGGCGGCGGCGCCCTCGGGGAGCGGGACGGCGGCGCGGCGGTCGACGTTGAGGACCTCGACGGCGGTGCCGAAGTTTGGGGCCATGCCGATGACAAAGTAGTGCTTGCCCGTGGCCTCGTCGACGCCCACGCCGTCGATGCCCACCGTGTGCGGCAGCAGCGACGCCGAGTAGTGCCGGCCCGAGGCGCGCGAGCGCACCACGTTGTGCAGGCCGACGTACTTCATGCGGAGCTGCAGCTGCGACTCGGACGGCGCCGGCGGTGCGTCCAGCGTCACCTGGTGCGGACCCTCCTCCCACGATGTCGTCTGGACAGCGCGCATTGTGTTGGGGTGTGCAGGGTAGATGGTATAAGTGATTTGGTCAAGGTTGCTCGATAGGGTGTGAGATAGGAGTGGTCTGATGGAAGCTTGGGGATATTATCATCTAGACTGAGAGGAAGAAACCCCATGGGCATCCCGAAGCTTTTATACAACCATCACCACGTTTGTCAACGGTGGCCTAGCCCTCCACAGCTCGCCGAGCTCGCCGCTTTGCCCTTGAGGTGCAGCTCATGGGCGGGGTGATGGCATGGAATTCCGCTCAGGGCGAGCGCGAATCGGCTGTAAGCTTGTGCTTTGTCTAGTCGCTCCTCCAACACCGACCGGGCCCCGACCTGCCAACTCGCACATCTTGACATCTCAACCAGGGAGGTGCCAAGGATTCCGACAGACGGTCGCGCGGGAGGGTGTGATCGGAAGCCACTCGGCAGCTCGCCCTGCATCGCTGGACACTGATGTGCTTCGTCAGGGATTGCGTGTCTTGGCACCCCCGTCCAGTAGAAACGCAGGCCACGCGCCAGAAGACAGCAGCGGCGGGGTTGATGGGCTGACAAAGAATCCCGCCGCTCACATTATCCGCCCGCGCGGCTGCCAGGAATGGGTAAATGGCCTTCCTTCATATTGCAGTTGAAAATGCCGTCGGATTTTGCGAGCTGCAGCTTTGCCTCGGTGTCGCGACAGGATTTATTTGTGAAGGATTATTTTCCGAGTTTCGGCTTCAAGCACCTCGGTATTCGCCTTGAATTTCTCCATATCGCCACTGTCGACTTGTCTGCAACACCGGCCTCGTCTCTTGGCCATGAATTCGGCAGTCTCGCAGCGGCCCGTCTCGCGTAAGCAACGCACTGTATGAATTGCGAATCCACTGTCCCCGGTATTTCCCTCTTGGGCTGGCAGGCTGGCTCCATTCCCACGTCCCACGACCCAAGTCGCGGCGCGTGGGTGCACGTTCCCCTTTTCTGGCACAGAGGCTGGGGCTGGTACTCCTGACACGGCTCAGGAGCCCCGACAAGACGCGCTAGACCAGAAGTCAATTCTCGTTTATTTCTTCATTCTCTTCACTGCCAGGCTGCATTCTTCTTCTCCCAACAGGCTACTCTCATCCTTGCTTTCTCCAGCAAGAGAGCTCTAGTCAGGGCGCCTGAGTCGTCTCTGCCCAAAGTCACGAGACGGCGTGGCTGCGATTTGGCCGGCGGCTCACCGAGCCCAGCTAGTCCACCACCACCGACAAGGCCAGGTGCCCGGTGTCTGCCCCCAGGAGCGCTGGAAACTCTGCGCATCTAATCGTGTTGTAGGCGCCCATTCAACTGGCCGGCTTGACAAGATCCATGGCATAGCCTAGCCTGCCAAGCCTGTATTCAGTTGCCCTTTGGGCGTACTTGGTACTTGCCAATTCGAGCACCTGGCCGCAGACGGATCGACGCCGAGGGCCTGTATTGGGAACAGCTGGATACCTACATCTAGGTATCTACCTCTAGATATCTACCTAGACCGACGTCTCTGGCCACCCCACCCCTGTGACCTCCACAGCAAAGATGCTGCCCAGGGCGAGCCTCCAGGTGCGAGGTGCCGACCAGTCGGTCACCAAGCGAAAAGCCCTCGAAGATGCCCAGAAGATGCAGATGCACATCGTGGAGGAGTCCAACAAGAACGGCAAGGAACCGCCGCCCTACGTCCTCCAGGAGCTCATCGGCAAGGGCAGCTACGGCCGTGTCTACAAGGCCAACGACGTCAAGGACAACCGCGTCGTCGCCGTCAAGATCATCGACATCGACGAGAGCGACACCCTCAACCCCAAGCTGGCCGACACGTACCGGGAGATCATGAACGAGATCGGCGCCCTCAAGCTTCTGGGCGACAGCGGCGCCCGCAACGTCAACTTCGTCCTCGAGGCCATGCCCGTGCAGTCGTCCATGTGGATCATCACCGAGTACTGCGCCGGCGGCAGTGTATCCACGCTCATGCAGCCTACCGCTCCCCACGGTCTGCAGGAGAAGTGGATCATCCCAATCCTGCGTGAGGTCGCCGAGGCCATCTTCTGGGTCCACCGTCAGGGCATCATCCACCGCGACATCAAGTGCGCAAACGTCCTCATCACCGAGGCCGGCGGGGTCCAGCTGTGCGACTTCGGCGTCGCCGGCGTCATAGAGACGCGTCTCGACAAGCGCACCACCGTCATCGGCACCCCTAACTGGATGGCCCCGGAGCTGTTTGACGGCTCCAACTCGTACGGCACCGAGGTTGACATCTGGGCCTTTGGGTCCCTCGTCTTTGAGGTTGCCTCGGGCCTGCCCCCCAATGCCCTGTCTGGCATGGCCTTTCACCAGCTTGGGGACTTCATCAAGAAGCAGGTCCCGAGGCTGGGGGGCGACCAGTACTCGGATGCGCTGAAGGACCTAGTCGCCTACTGCCTGGTCGACGATCCCGCCAAGCGGCCGCCCATCGAGGCCATACAGCAGCACCCCTACATCTTCCAAACCGAGGAAATGTTTCCCACCTCGTCACTGGCGCTGCTGGTCAGGGCCTACAGGCTTTGGGAGTCACAAGGAGGATCGAGGAAGTCGCTCTTCAACCCCGGAGGTGCCCAGGGGCTGAACGGCCTGTCAGAAAGCGACCTATCGTCAACCGCCCTGGCAGCCGACGAGTGGAACTTCAGCACAACCATGGCGTTTGACCAGCGCGTCTTTGACGACTCGGACAACCAGGCCGTATATGACGTCTACGGGTCCAACCTTGGCCTGCCCGAATTCAATGACGAGACTACCCGGCCTTCAAAGACCAACAAGGGACGACGCCGCCCACCTCCGCAACTGCCGGTCCTGAAGGCACCGCTGGAGAAGGTGTTCGACCCCAACACCATTTCCAACTACGAGGACAACTCACGGGTCTATTATGGGCGACCCATGCCGGCTCCCGTTGCCTCGGATCTTCCGCTCCGGGACGACTCACTGCACTCCACTCTCCGGGAGTCCCTGATCGACCTAGATATGTCCCTGGACGGGAGCCGCTTGTCAATGTTCACCGACATGGAGACCATCAGAGCCTCAAACTCGCATGCCGCGGCAGGCGTGGACTACAGTCACTTGGACTACAGCATGGACGACAGCCACGATTTCAACAAGGCGCCGCTCAGCGATCCGGCAGACCTGAACAACAACCGCCGCACACGGGACTGGAAGTTTCCGTCGATGCAGGCGGCGCCGCTGTCGGCCAACCCTGAGATGTCACACTTTTCATTCCACGACGATCTTGGCATGACGCCCGAGCCTTCGCCACCGCCGCAGGGGAGGCCCCAGCTGCTCCATCACCAGACGGACCCGGTTGGGATGCAGTCGCAGGCTTACAACGAACTGTCGGTACCTCGGGCGCCGGACAACCGAACCTCGGTGAGCTCCCTGATCGACCTGGACGAGAGCCTGCCAGACAGCATGCCAGAGCTCACCCGCCCATCCACAGCCAACTCGGACGTGGTTAGCGTGACGGGCTCGGACATTGGGATGACGGCCAACCCATTCGAATTCGAGCGGCACGCGTCCATCTATGTGAGCAGCCCGCCTCGGGGCGGCGGCGGTGGCGGCAGCTTTGGCGGCAGAGAGCCTTCCATCTACGTATCGGACGACTCCGACTTCGCACGGCTTGCTGTCGGGAGCAAGCAGGAAGGAAGCGCCAGCATGCCGAACCTGGTGCTGAACGACGGCAACGACGGTTCCCTCGTTGGATCGTCCGATCCTCAACGCAGGCCGAGGCCCGACTCGTTCGAAGACGGGGGCTATCCGGGCGGGGAGTATCTCGACACGGACTATCTGAATATGATGGATCACCGGCGAGAAACGCAGGAAAACCTGGGTGGCGGCGGCCAGATGCCGCAACGATACAACATGGATCAGCAGCAGTTCCCGCAGCAACACACCCAGGACCTCGAAGAGATGCCGGTGCTCCCCAACCCGCCATCGGCGCGGGTGATGCAGGGTGTCTGCAGCCGGCAGGAAGCCAGCGACGAGCTGCAGCGGATGCTGGCCAGCTTCCAGGAGCATCTCAGCTTCTCTCACGCACACATTTTAAACCTCCCTATCCTCCGGAGAAATCCCTCGGGAGCCGGCGGTGGTGGTGGTGGTGGCGGTGGTGGCGGCGGCGGCGGCGACAGGCTGGAACATGCGGTCGAAGATTGATGTGAAAGATTGAGCCATATCGAACCGATATAAAACGCACTGGGAAACAAGCAGCGTGGATGAAAGATGAGGACGAGCGAGCAGTTCATAGCGCAGGGCGTTGCATGAGCATTGGGATATAGAAGCTCTGTCTTGAAGTTTCAGGCAAGAGATGCCGTTATGACATTCTTAGATACCAGGTAACCTGCGACATTCTGTTTTTTTTTCTCCCTCTTATCTGTTTCCCATTAACATATTCTTTATTTCCGTCAATCTTGACATTGACCCAGCCATCAGTAATCAAAATTCCATTCATCTAGGATATGCACAAGGAAGAGACAGTTGCCAGGAGGAGGGCGCTGGATGTAGTGAGACGGCTGGTGAGACCATGAGAGAATGTATGGAATGAATTTTGAGTGCCGCGCCTCCATCTTGTCAGTGAAAATTTTGTCCCACTGTGAGTCAGTGGCAATATCAAGGCCCAGCGCTCCCACCCTCCAAATCAGGATTTGGGCGTCACTGGAAGCAACAAGTTCTAAAAGACGATTCGAATGAACAAAAAACCGTTCTTGGCCAAAAGAGTACTTTCAGTCACTTTGAAATTGCATACTTTCTCGAAGGCTACCCTTTTACCCTCTCGGCGAAGGTGGCGGGCATCATCAAAAGACTCGGCCTCGACAGCAGAACTGCATCCACCCTCGCCCGCATATACTCTCCCCTGAATCGCATCGGGGCCCGACGGCAGGCGTCCGGCTCCGTCGTCGCAGCCATGAAGACCGAAGTCGTCAGGGTCGACCCGGCCGCCGCCGCCAGCCTCGGCCGCTTCCGGGAGGTGGTGGTCGCTAGCAGTAATGGCACAGGGAGCAGCAGCAGCAACATCAGCATCACCCCGATCCAGAACCTGGCGTCGTGGGAGCTGGCGGCGGCCCCTTCCTCTGGACCGTCCGGGGACGCCCATGTCGACGCCGACGAGCACCCGGCGCTCGGCCCGCTGCGGCGGGCGGCGGAGCGGCTCCGGAGCAGCGACGTGCCCGTCGCGTTCCCGACCGAGACCGTCTACGGCCTCGGCGCCGACGCGACCCGCAGCGCCGCCGTCAGGGGCATCTACGCCGCCAAGGGCCGGCCGTCGGACAACCCGCTCATCGTGCACGTGTGCGACCTTGACATGCTGCGCTCGCTCCTCGTCGGCGCCACTCCCAATGACGACAGCAACAGCTACGACGACCCGATCCCGCCCATCTACCTCCCGCTCTTGCAGCGCTTCTGGCCGGGCCCGCTGACCATCCTTCTCCGCAACCCCACGCCGCCGCCGCCGGCCTCCCGCCGCCTCGCGCCCGAGGTGACGGCGGGCTTGCCCACGTTCGGCGCGCGCCTGCCGGCCTCTCCGCTGGCGCTGGCGCTGATC